TTCACCAGAACCAACAACGCTCATCGCAGAACTTTTCACCAGAACCAAGATGTGAACAAACCGGAAAGTCGACCCCAACTCACAGAGATCCTATTAGACACAGCAGAACTGCCCTTAGGGCTCCTGAGCAAAGCCACGGTGTTTTCAACTGCCTCGTGTGTATGTGAAATTACGCTGTTGAAGAAGAATGGTGAGCGTACCATGACCCCCAGAAGAACAAACAAATCTGTCTTGGAAAAACACAGCCAGAGTGCTGCTTACACGCCAGGACGGCCAGACTTCGTCTCTCATACTTTGGACGTGTTATCAGGAGGGATCAGTCCCTGGGAAAGGACGTCACACTTGGCAAAGTGGAGGGTCGGTGAAAAAGAGGAAGACCCCAATGGCTCAAATATAACAACTGTGAGGATGGCGGAGGAACGTGCAGAATTTCGTTCTGTTATGCATGGGGTGGCTGTGCGTTGGAATCGACTCGAAGGTGCCTGACAACAGCAAACACGTCTCTATGGAAGCCGATGACTTCCGTCTCACGAGGAGTGGATGATGGGCTTGAACTGATGATCCTGTGGTTAGCAACCAAGCTCTTAACCACTGTGCCACCAAGCTCCTTAATTACCTAAGTACGGTTACTTACACAGCAGCAATGGATAAAACACAATTTTAAAATAAAAATATGCAGAGAGATAGCTTCCTGATTTCAAATAGTCTTTTTAGCGGCTTTCCATACCCACTGCCCCCCATTACCACTGTAAAAACACAGATGGAAGCTATTCCCGGGCAGTACCCCAGCAGGTGAGCTTCCAGGGCACAGGTGCCAGCCATCCCCTCCCTGGGCAGCAGGCCCACCCAAGATGTCTGAGATGGGGTGGACACACCAACACATGACCCCTGCTGCAAAGACCCTTCCAGATTTTGTGGGTGCCTACAAGACCGTGGTAAAAGATTTACACCCTCGGAAACCCTGTACAGGGTCGCTATGAGTCGGTTCCGACTCCACGGCACATAACAACAACAAACAACAACAAGACCGTGGAGACGCTTCACAAGACAGAAGCCGACCAGCATCGGCAGGAGCACCTCCCAGGACGGACGAGACTACAGAGGACTGGTCTTCACGTCCATCTTCAAATCCCCACACATCAGCCTCCATGGCCCCGCCCTGACCACCCAGCAGCTTCCGGAAGCTTCTCCTGTGACATCACAGTCCTGGACGGGAGCATTGACAACCCAGGAGGCTGTCCCTAGCTGTCCACACCTCGATGAAGCAAACCAAGCCAGGCGCCAGCCCTGGCCCTGACCCCGGTCCTTCACTGATAGCCTTCCCTGTGGCTCCGTCCACACCCTAGGGCTAATTGCTTTGGGAGACAAAAACCGCACAGTGAGAATGAAGGGCCCAGGGTGGCTGCCCACCAACCTGTGAGAATGCCCACTCAGGTGGATAGAGATGGGCACCACAGCATTGTGTCCATGGGGGAACAGCTCGAGGATCAGCCGTGGGGTGCAGCCCCACCCTGACAGGAGTCTTCTGTACCCCAAGCATGTGCCCCCCTCAGAAAGGCAGCAGGCCGGCCTCACAGATATGGCCAGTTCAGTTCCAGGCCACCTAGTGAGTCCCCGGGGTTCCACATGCACGTGAAAGTCTGGGGCGTGCACAACGTGATGAACAAGCCTGGAATACATGACACCGACCAGCCTGAGACACAGAGACACCACGTGAACACACGCTGCCCGAGGACGCGCTCGGCACAGGGTTTTACCACAAGGCTTCAATTTATAAAAACATGCAGTACGGGGTGGGGGGCGCTACAAAGCGTGTGTGGGAATGAAAAAGACAATGGAATTTCTCCATCAACTTTCTGAAGCCCCCTCATATTACTGATTACAAACAAACTGGGCTGCTAACCACAAGGTCAGCAGTTCGAATCTACCAGTCACTCTGAGGGAGAAAGATGAGGCTTTCTGATCCCGAAAAGATGAGTCCTAATGTGGTACTGCGGGTTCATGTGCTGGACTGCAATGTCGGCGGTTCAACCTCACCAACCGCTCCTCAGAAACCCTACACAGGGTCCCTATGAGTTGGAATCGACTCTATGGGCACGTAACAACAACAATATATTACAAAGTACGATACAACGTGGCCTGCCTACACTTTGTCTGAGACACAAGGGTAAGAAACAGAGCTGTGCTTCCCAGAGGCTGCAGAGGACGAGATGGGGAGAGGGGGAGGAGGAAGACCAGGAGGAATGAGGGTCAGCAGGGAGGAGGGTCAGGAAGGAGGAAGCCTTACTCAGTCACGAGGGGTCAGCTGTCCAGCTGCCCTGTGCGGGACCCACCCAGAGAAAGGTCGGGGTCGTGACTGGGGCTCTCAGCACAGCAGTCTTTGGCACAAAAGCAGGACAGACATCCTTCAGGCCTCCAGAGCCAGAACTCTGGAGGGGCCATGAATGGGCCATTGGGTCCTTGTTTGCTGACCAGACGGGAATCCTATTCATTAGACTGAAGTGCCCAGAACAGCTTACCTTTTTGTCATCCTTAGTCTTCCTGACGTTTCGATGAGGACCGAAGATGTTGGGCACCCCGAAGGCCCTCCTGGACCACTCACTCTTCTGCCCAAAGCTGCCCTCCATCCTGTAGCGGTCAGCTGGGATCTTGCTCATTGGTGGGGGCAGTGTGCCGCAGTTGACACTGGACCACCCGTCGGTGGAGTCAGTGTAGGACTCCTGGTCACTGGCCTGGCCACACTGCCACTCCTGGAGGACATGGACCGGGAGCCATCTCTGCTGAGAGCCGCAGCGGGTGCCCACTGCGCTGCGCTTGGCTGGGGGTACGGAGCTCCGCAGAGCGGCTGCTGGGAGCTCCGCGTGGGCGCCCGCTCCCACGTGCTTGTGGACATCTCGGAACCAGTCGGTCTGCGGCGGTCCCTCAAAGGGGGAGCTCCCCTCCTGATCGTGGCAGATGGCACCGTTCCAGGGGGGGGCCCAGGGGTGGGGCCCCCTCCCGCCCACACCACCGCCGCCGCCGGGGGCGTGCTTGCTGGCGCCGCCCCCCAGGTCCACCATGAGGACGCGGGGGCTCTTCTCCTCCTGGTTGAAGTTGCCGATGCCGCTGTCGCTGTTGCTGCTGGTGCTATTGTTCTGGTGAGCGTCCACGTCGTTGTCCAGGAAGGCGCGGGCCCGCACCCCTTCGATGAGCTCGCCCATGTCCCTGTACAGCACCGAGACGAACTGCAGCACCGGCAGCGAGGAGGCCGGGAACTCCAGGCAGCCGTTGGTGTCCGGGTCCGCGGTGCACTCAAAGCCGAAGCGCCTCGCAATGCCCTGGTGGATCTTGTGATTGAACAGGTCGGGGTCCACCATAAACACGTGGCAGGACGTCCGCAGGGCCCCGTCCTCATCCTGAGCCAGGCGCCCATCGTCGCTGGTCTGCATGGTCACCAGCCCGAAGAAGCGCCGGTCGTCCGGGCACAGGGCGCTGAAGGCCAGCTTCTCCGCGGGGTACTCGGCCAGCACCCCGGCCTTGTCACTGCACAGCTGGACACAGTCGTGCATGATCTTCATGGTCACCAACGAGTGGATCTTCTGTTCCGCCCGTAAGCGCCGCATGCAGCCCCGGATGGCCTGCAAACTGTCATACTCGAGGCTAGAGGTGGCAGAGGGCAGCTCGATGGAGCCCAGGTAACCCACGACCATGGCGACGTTGAGGATGCTCGCGTCCACTGCAAGGTCATCCTGGTGCTCCAGCCCCACGCCGAAGGCCGAGGCGTCGGGGATCATCTGAGCGATTTCCTCCTTGGAAAGCCTGCTGGGGTGGGGGCTATCGCTGCGTTCCGCTCCCCCGTCCAGTCGCGCAGCCGCCGGCTCTGAAAGGGGTCTCTGTTTGGGCTTGAAGGGCTCTGGCGGCCCCGCGCACACACCAGGGTTCTCGAATATCATGCTGAAGATGCCCCCCGATTGCATGTCGGCAACGACCCGCTCCGCTCGGTTTATCCCTAAGGCTTTCGAGTCGAGCTTGGGCTTCAGCCAGCCCTTACCCTCACAGCAGCCGAGCTCTTCGTCGCTGGAGCAGGGCTCCAGGTGGCCGAGACCCTCGCCAACCACCATGTGCAGGACCCCCGCACACTTCCCTATGAGCTTCACCACGTCCTCGTGCGAGGCCTTCTTCACGCTGACGTCATTGATGGCGAGGATCTGGTCCCCGGCGCGCAGGCCCACCAGGTCCGCGGGGCTGCCCCTCATGACGCAGCTGAGCACGCAGGGCCCCTGGCCGGAGAGCGTGAAGCCGTAGCCCGCTCGACCCCGCGCCACCTCCACGCTCCGCGTCCGGCGCCGCCCCGGCTCCCCCGGTCTATGCATGGTGCCACGTCTCCGAGATCCGGGACATGTTTAACTACGCCAGGGGACCCATTTCCAGCCAACGTGCCACGTTGTAGCCCTGGTTTCCCTCCAAATGCGGCCCTAAGGAGGAAACGAAAGAAGGCATTATTAGGGTGCGCGTTTGTGCTGCGGGTGCGTCTAACTCACAACGGACAGCGAGTCAATCTGAACAGGTTCCCTCTACCACAGACCTTCCCAGAAGCCACAGATGAGGCAAGAGCACGGAGCTCCAGCAGTATCTGCTGTCCCACCTGTCTGATGGAAGGAGAAGAGACCCTCGGGTATAGACCAGCAGCCAGCCCCAGCCCCCCACCCCACCCCAGCCAGGGGAAACGCATGCTTAGCTCCTCAGTGGACCCGCATTGTAACAAGAATTGAAACACCGAAGGCACCCAACCTCTCTCTGGATCACAGATGTCCTCTACCAAAAACGGGTCCCAGGAGAAGCAGTGGACTAGATTCTCTTCTATCCCAAGGCCGGGTGGGATGGAGAACTGTGTCGCGGAGACACATTCGTCTAAAACCTCCGTCAACACTAGGGCGACCGGCTCTCCACTCAGTTAAGTGCTGTCGAGTCAGTTCGGACTCATAGCGACACTGTATAGAGTTTCTGAGGAGCAGCTGGTGGGTTTGAACCTCCGATCTTGTGGTCCACAGTCCAGCGCTGATCCTACAGCGCCATACCAGGTCACTCCATTGTATAGATGAAACCACCCACCAAGCACATGAATGGGATACCCATTTAACTCTTTCAGGGGGAATGTGTCAGGACCCCTAAGACCACTCCCAGGGTTGATGATTCACAAGGAGGACTGCAGGACTCGACCCTCAGGGTTCTCAGGACTGAACTGTGTCACAGAGAGAGGACCCAGAGCAAGATGAGCTGGGGAACAGGCGAGAGGGACGAGGGGAAGCCGACGACAAGCTTCCGCATCCTCTTGCTGTGGGCTCACACGGGACATGCTTCACTTCCCAGCAATGACCTGAGTTGCCAAGTGCTGTCCAGCAGGGGAGCCTGGAGAAACCTGGTGCCCAGGGCCAGATGACCCAATGAACAAGGTCAGCAGGCACTGAGGGCATCCACAAAGCAGGGCCTCCAGTTGTCCAAAGCAATGACCCAGAGATGCCAAGCAGACTGGGCACAGGAAAAGCGAGCGCCATGTGGAACGGAACCGGCAGGCACTCACTGAAACAGACCAGCTCTTGTGTGAGAGAATGTGCAGACTAGAAGTGAAAGTTCACGCAGGGTCACTAGGGCGTCCCTGTGTAAGGTTGTTTAAGCTACGAGATCCCTATCACTTCCACACCTTTGTTGACATCTGTCCCCTACAGTCCCCTCTGTCTCAGCAGGTCGCTTGGGAGGGTACTGTTTCTTTCTAATAAAGAGGTGCAGACGGGTTGTCAAGTCTAATTCTTGCTCCATTCACCCAGGATGCAAGTGGATGCACGTGAGCAGTTACTGGACAGGACGGACTGCATGAGGAGATAGCAGGTCTCTGCTCCATGTTGGCAGAACCATCTCGTACACGGAGCACGTCCAGGCAGGACGACCAGTATTGCCCATTCCCATGATACACATCCGGGTAGACAAGGAGAATGATGGGGCATGACCCACAATAAGAGCAGCTGCAAACACCCATAAACCATCAGAACGTGGAAAACGTAAAGTAAGAATCTAGGAAAACTGGAGGTGTTAAAAGAGGAAATGGAATGCATAAAGATGGATATCTGAAATGGACTGGCCATTCTGAATCAGACAATCATATGTTCTACTATAATTGTTGTAGTTGTTGTTAAGTGCCATCAAATCGATTCCGACCCATAGCAACCCTGTATAGGGTTTCCAGGGAGCATCTAGTGAGCTTGAACCACTGACCTTGCAGTTCAAACGACTTAGCAGTCTGATGCATTAATCCACAGCACCACCCCATCTACTCTAATGGGAACGACAAATTGAAGAAGAATGTTGTCACATTCATCATCAAAGAGAATGTTTCAAGATGAGCCCGAAAATGTAACAATATCAGTGATAGGCTAATAGTTACAGGCCTACAAAGACCAGTTCACATATACGTACCAACCACTAGTGCCAAATATGAAGAAACCAAACATACTTACCAAATTCTACAGTCTAAAATTGGTCAACCATGCAACCAAGATGCACTGATTGGAATGTGAACGTTAGATACAAAGACGATGAATTAGAAGTTGAAAAATACTGCCTTGGTGATAGAAACACCACCAGAGACCACATAAAAGAATTTGGCAAGACAAACGACTTCATTGCAAATCTCTTTTTCAGCAACATAAATGGCCACCTTGTTGTGAAGTGCCTTGGAGTCATTTCTGACTCATAGCAACCCAGTATTGGATTTCCAAGGAGTGGCTGGTAGGTTTGAACAACCAACCTTATGTTTAGCAGTCCAGTGCCCACCACATCAGGAACCCAAATGGCAACTATACATGCATTAATAATCAGACTATGGAATGTAGGAAGTATGTTGTTGTTGTTGTTATGTGCCATCGAGTCGGTACCGACTCATAGCGACCCTA